AGTATGCAAATTATCAGTTCATGATATGCAAATTATCAGGTTATGGTATGCAAATTATCGGTTCGTGATATGCAAATTATCGGTTCGTGATATGCAAATTATCGGTTCATGATATGCAAATTATCGGTTCATGATATGCAAATTATCGGTTCATGATATGCAAATTATCAGGTCATAGTATGCAAATTATCAGTTCATGATATGCAAATTATCAGTTCATGATATGCAAATTATCAGTTCATGATATGCAAATGACCGGTTCATGATATGCAAATTATCAGTTCATGATATGCAAATCATCAGTTCATGATATGCAAATTATCAGGTTATAGTATGCAAATTATCAGTTCATGATATGCAAATTATCAGGTTATGGTATGCAAATTATCAGTTCATGATATGCAAATTATCAGTTCATGATATGAAAAATTATTGGTTCATGATATGCAAATGATCGGTTCATGATATGCAAATCATCAGTTCATGATATGCAAATCATCAGTTCATGATATGCAAATTATCAGGTTATAGTATGCAAATTATCGGTTCGTGATATGCAAATTATCCGTTCGTGATATGCAAATTATCGGTTCGTGATATGCAAATTATCGGTTCATGATATGCAAATTATCGGTTCATGATATGCAAATTATCGGTTCATGATATGCAAATTATCAGGTTATAGTATGCAAATTATCAGTTCATGATATGCAAATCATCAGTTCATGATATGCAAATCAGTTCATGATATGCAAATTATCAGTTCATGATATGCAAATTATCAGTTCATGATATGCAAATTATCAGTTCATGATATGCAAATTATCAGTTCATGATATGCAAATTATCAGTTCATGATATGCAAATCATCAGTTCATGATATGCAAATCATCAGTTCATGATATGCAAATCATCAGTTCATGATATGCAAATCATCAGTTCATGATATACAAATTATCAGTTCATGATATGCAAATTATCAGTTCATGATATGCAAATTATCAGTTCATGATATGCAAATTATCAGTTCATGATATGAAAAATTATTGGTTCATGATATGCAAATGATCGGTTCATGATATGCAAATTATCAGTTCATTATATGCAAATTATCAGTTCATGATATGCAAATTATCAGTTCATGATATGCAAATTATCAGTTCATGATATGCAAATCATCAGTTCATGATATGCAAATTATCAGTTCATGATATGCAAATTATCAGTTCATGATATGCAAATCATCAGTTCATGATATACAAATTATCAGTTCATGATATGCAAATTATCAGTTCATGATATGCAAATTATCAGTTCATGATATGCAAATTATCAGTTCATGATATGAAAAATTATTGGTTCATGATATGCAAATGATCAGTTCATGATATGCACATTATCAGTTCATTATATGCAAATTATCAGTTCATGATATGCAAATTATCAGTTCATGATATGCCAATTATCAAATACATGTAATTACACACTTACCCATCCATTCGGACATCTGGAAGAGACCGATTAACAGATATTTTATTGCTAGCTAAAAGATTAAATTGGTTAATTTTAAACATCTCTTTTTTAAGTTCTTCCTCCTCTGGTGCTATAACAACCCCCTTGCCCATTTCACCAGGGGCATTGGGATCCACTATGTTCTCTGAAAAAAAGAGGAAATGAAAAGTATTGTTACATATACCACACAATGAATTTACCTTGGATTTACCATTGGTGGTCGGAAATACTATGTTTACTATTTATTTACTATATATTTTTTAGAAACAAGCAGCCTGTCGGCTGAGATAGCTCCGCTGTTAGCAATGCACATTGCAATTAAAAAACAGAAGATATCATTGGAAAATATGTATACTTGCTGTTTTCAACAAGAATTCAAAAATATCACTTTTCACCAAAAATAATCATCAAAATTAGAGAATTGAAGATATCATCACGAAATGAACACATCTGAGAGAGGTCCACGTGTAGTACCTAGATATGTAATATCAAAGCAATATGACTTGCGGTTTTTAACAAGAAGTCGAAAATATCACTTTTTACCAAAAATGACAAAAATATTCACCAAAATTAGAGAATTGAAGATATCATCATGAAATGAACAAATCTAAGAGAGGTCTACCCAAGGTACATATACACCAAGTTTCAAAGCATTCAGGCTTATAGTTTTCAAAAAGAAGTCAAAAAGGTAAAACATTGACACGGACGACAATCACTCATATGATAAGCTCTGCTCGACAAAGTCGACAGCGGAGCTAAAAAAAAACTGGGACAAAATGAATTTCTTTATTCCTTAATAATTGGCCAATTCGTTAGGCAATGTATTATAATGCATATACATAAATGAACATAACAAAATGTGTTGCGTACAATTACAATACAAGTCCCGAAACATTCTTGTGTCATTTGGATGAGACCAAGCAGTACATATATCTCTGTACCCTACATACTTTTCAGTTGAAAATATATTTTAATGTTGAAAGTGAAATATACAGAATCACTTTCATTCCCAGACAGTGGAGGTTCAACCACATGTTATTTAAAACAGTCTTATGAACTCTTCATAGTGAAAAATTAAATGTTGCTGGTTTTAATTCATGAACATGATGATTCTCAACTGAAAAAGAACGCAACAATGAAACTAGTTTTGTAAAATTGTTATTATAACTATAGTTTCTGTATAACCTGGAAGAAAACATGAACAAATAACATGCTTATAAATATTAAAGGCTTTCATCTTGAAATTTATTAACTGTATTTAATATTGAAACATGTTACTTTATGGATTTCTGTGTAACACACAAGTGAATGAATCA